CTCTAGTTGTCTGATGCTTGGCCCTGGGGTGATCAAGGCAAGAAAATAGTGGCACTGAGTGTGAGAGGCCAGGAGAGGAGCTGGTTAGGAGTGTGAGGTCTGGACTGGTTGGAATACATGTGAAAGGTGTGTTCAGGCAAGTTGTTTGCTATCTCTAGGAATTAGTTAACCCTGAGAGAGGCAGTTCCTCCAGGGTCAGCAAGGCCTCAAGATGTCAAAGCATCAAAAATACAGAATAAAAAGACATGATCAATACACACCCTTATCACAGTATAGAATATTTCCATCTCCTCCCAAAATGTTCTTTTGTGTTCCTTCCAAATCAATCTCTACCTCCCTCGAGACAACCATGGTTTTGATGTTTTTCACTTTAGTTTTTTTTTGTTGTTGTTGTTCTAAAACTTTATATAAAGAAGATTATATTATGTGATTCTTATGTTCAACTTCTTTTGCTTAGCATAATGTCATACATGCATGTTGCATGTCTCGGCAGTTTGTTCCTTTTTATTGCTGAGCAATATTCCATGGTATAAACGTACCACAATTTGTTTATTCGTTCCCTTGCTGATGGACATAAGCTTGTTTTCAAGTTTTATTAATGTAAATAAAACTACTGTGAACATTTATCTTTATCAACATATGCTTTCATTTCCCTCAAGTAAATATTAGGAGGTAAATTACTAGGTCAAAGGTTGCATGTTTAACTCTTTAAAAACTGCCGGTTTTCTGAAGTAGTTGTACTGTTTACCTTCCCACAAGCAATATATGAGCATTTTGATTACTACACGTCCTCATCAACATTTAGTGCTGTTAGTCTTCTTAATTTTATGTCCTGCTTTTATTTTGTTAAAAAAACTTCACAAAGCCCTAAATTTAATATACTTCTCTCAGTTTCTCTGACACTTCTATTTTTTTTTCCACCCATTTTGTCATTTTCTAGACAATCTATCAGTTGCCTAAAAACACTGCTTTGTTTTGGCTGGTGTCTATAAGCCAGATAGAGTTACCAATCTCTCTCTTTCTCATACACACAAGTGTGCACATGCATACCTCACAGTTCAACAGGTATTGCTTTTTTTTCTCTAAGGTATTATGCTAAATATTGTGGGGCATTTTATAAAGATAGTAAACACATTAACTGCGCTCAAGATGGGAAAAGGAAATAAAATCCAATAAGTAAAATACAAGGTAGGCTCTGATACATGCTTCAAAAGAAGAAGGAAGTACGACTTTGTGGTCTTGGGGCCTTGAAGGACATGCGTACTTTCTACAGGTGGTGATGATAAAGGCCTTGCTGGTGAAAAGAATAGTGTGTTTTTGTGCCAGAGTGTTAGACCCATTCAGTCATACTTTATTAATAAATTATGCTCATTTAGATGGAACTGACTGGAAATTTCTCTACGTCCCGCAGCCTGTTCTTCCAGATGTTTTGAGCATCGTTGAATGACTGTACCTTCTGAACTTTGCCTTTGGCTGGGGGACAGGCACTGTGGTATTATGAAGCTCAAGGTTTAGAATAGTACTATCTTTTAGAATCCTCATAATGACTGTACTGGGACTCTACTTCAATTATTTTTCCTTTTTCTTGACTCTTCCATTTTATCCTCATTGAATTATTTCATCCCACCAATATAAATGTATTCAAGTCTTCTTCCGTCTCACATTGTGGGGGAAAAATAATTATTTTCTCAATCCATTATTTCTGCTGTTAAACTTTCATCCTGTTTTTCTCTCCTTTAACTGTATTAGTAGTCATTTATGCTTGCTTCTACTTCTTACCATCACCAGTTATTCAACCTCTTGTAGTTTGAAATTTGCCATAAGCCACTTTTCTGAAAAATCTTATAAAAATATAATACAAGTATCAGTTATCTCCTGGTCAGTAAATCTAATACTCTTTTTTATTTCTTTTTGAGTTCAGATTTTCTTTGGCCTGTGTGTAGGTACTGTTACCCATGTCTGTCTTCTTGATGGTCTCCCATTCCTAGCTTTCTCTGGCTTTTTACTCTTCGTTTTCCTATGTCTGTCTTCACTGACTCCTCTTCCTTCCCTTAATGGCAAGTGTTTATTAAGGATTTGCCCTTGGCCTGCTTCTTTCCTTGGTAATCTCATTTAAACCCTTCCCTTCAGATGCAGACCTGTTTCTCCAGCTCTACTGCTATTCTTTTCTTCAGTTGCTTGTTAAACCTGAGTCACCGTCACTTCAAATTTGATATGTTTAAAATATTCCCATTCTTGATCAGACCTGCATTTCTTCTTGTAGGTCTGTTGCTAGCCTCATCTTTCAGATCCCCCAGATGTAGTATCCCGACATTATCTTTGATTTTTTTCTCTTTTGCTTCCCACATCTAATTAGTTGCCAAGTCAAATAGTTTTAACCTCCATAGTATCTCTCACCTCCTTCTTTTTCCCTATTTCTTTTGTGACTGTGCTAATTCAGGCCTTGATTTCAGTCCATTTTTGCAGTGACTTTCTCATGAACTCCCTATTGTTAGAATTATAGAAAGAGCATGGGCTTTGCAGTTAGACAGACCCAGTGCTAATTGTGAAATGGCCCTTCCTAGCTGTTTGACTTAGCAAATTATTTAACCTCAGTTTACAAATGAGAAAGTTGGCATACAGAGAAGTTAGTCAATCCTACCTCATGAAGTACCTCATTTTGAAGGATAAATGGGACAGTATGTGCCTAGTGAGAAGGCACTCAGAAAATATTATTACTCTCTCCCTACTTTTGATCTCTTTACTAATAGCTTAATATTCTTTAAGCATAGATTTAATCCTATCAGTTTCCTGCTCTGCATTGGTTCTCATTGTCTCATTTCCCATAATTGCTAGCCTAGAATTTCTGACTGTCTAATAATTTGCTTCAACCTCCCTTTCTGACCTTATTTCCCCCTGCATGTCACAAACATCTCTTTGAGCCAAACAAAGCCTCTAGTAATGCCCCCATCCTCATTTTGTTATTGTTCCAAATGTACTGCACAGCTAGTACCATGCAGTACCTGCATGTTGCCAAATTTAAGTGTGCAGTAAGCATTTTTGGATAACAGTGGGTCTGAAATCTGTTTTACTAAAGTAAAAAATAGTATATCTGTAGCATAATATATTAAAATGTGGTTAAATATCTATTTTAGTTTGTTAAAATAAAATTATCCTTAAGGAGCATCACCCTTTTGTGTTGTGCGGATGGAGTTTTCTCTCGATAACCATTCTCAAAGTGCAAGCCACAGGTCCTGGGAAGAAGGTGGAAATGGAGCAGCATCTTACTTTAGAATTTCTTTCCCACAGTGATTTGGCACAGGGCCAGCCTGTCCTTCAGCACAATGCACACCTTGTTAAAGGAGGCTTATCATTTGCTTTTATGGCTTTAATTATATTTTAATAATTTTGAAATAATTTATAAGTGGTATACTATCATTATAAAGAGAGTGCTCTAAAGCCAAGAGACAAATGTTAGGAACTTAATAGATATTTAATTTATATAAGTTTATCATTCATTTCTTAAATAGGCATTCATTCATCAACACATTAAAATGGTAATATTTTTCCATTGAAGAATAGCTATACCTTACTTAGCTATGAAAAGCTAAGGTTTTTTAGTTATAATGCAGAATATTATTTGGGTTTTTTTTTTTAATGTAAGCTTGTTTTGTATACTTTAGTAATGTAATTTGTATAATGAGTTGTCAGGTGGTTTTATTCTTGAGGCCCACATTAAGGATTTTTTTTTAGAGGCCAGTTCTCCCTTACTACTGAAGAGAGGGCAGGGAGGCTACAAAACATGACTAATCAATAGACCAATTGGATAGATTTTAAAATTGTGAAATTTTGTTCTCTACTGATATAAAACTTGGTAGCAATACCAATAAAGGCATTTAATTTTCTATTTTCATATTAAAATCTTAAGAAATTGCTTGGGAGACCAGGCAGACTTGGGCACCAAAGAAATTTAAGAAAATATTATCCCATATTAACATTTTTTGCTGAACTTGCGGAACAAATACTTTTTGTGATATTTGGGTTTTGTTTTTTTATAAACTGTTCAGAGAGGTTTTCTGCTATAATGGCTGAATATAAGTTGCAAAGATTTAAGCCCTTTCTTATATTAACGTTCTACCTCATTAACTTCATTGTTGGGGCTTTTACACTTCAGTGCTTTAAATAAAATAATCTAAATGTGACTCTGTTGTACTCTTTCCATCTGTCTTCCTTTTGAGGTCTAGATGATTATGTATTTAGTTTTGTGTTTTCATTTAGACTCCATTGTTAATTCTATTAAGTGCAAGATGATGAAGGGAAGCTTTTGTATAACTGAGTGTCTTATGCTGCTGAAGCCCTGAAAGATCTAAGAATGTATTTGTAAGATAAAATAGTCACATCTTCAGCTGGTGTTTTATAACTTTTACCATCAAGTGTTATTCAGAGGACCAGAAACTTCGTAGCTATCACACTCCATTGTGTTGTGGATTCAGGTTTTGATTATATATGAGCTTTCACATATATCCAGTAGTATTTATAGCATTGGAACCCAAATAAGGGAGAGTTTTGCTTAAAAGCAAGCTGTTTGCCCTTAAAAATGTTTTCTAAGCATTTTCAGAAAAAATAGGAATTATGCAATGAATTTCCAAGCAAAGTCACCTTTGCAAATATTTGTACCTGCTTGCAAATAGTAGACATATTTAGGCAGTAAGGTTTTTTCTAAATGATTTACTGACAGTTGTGAGCACTCCTTAGCCTGTCTATCCCAAATGTAAGATATATGTCTTTGTTAAAAATGTAGAGAAAAAGAAGTTAATATAGTTTGAGTTCAGGAGAATGAAGCTTTTATGTTATCAAATATTTTACATTTTAAAAGGTATTTCATTATGAAGGTATGTTTAATTTTATGAAGATTAATCTATGTTTGACCCCTTTAAATTGAGAAATGAAGTTTTGTTTTACATAAGTTCAGCTATGTGAGATGTTGATGCTCATTTGTAACTATTTCTTTTATTTTCCAGCTCACCAGCGACTGGAACCAGCAACTCTGTCAGGGATTGTGGCATTTATCCTTAGTCTTTTATGTGGAGCTCTGAATTTAATTCGAGGCTTTCATGCCATAGAAAGTCTCCTGCAGGTACTGTGCTATTTTTGTAGCTTCAGGTGACTGTGCCTGTTCACTCTCCTTGTTACGTAATTGATTTGTATTAGATTGGGTTTTAGTATTACTTATAATGCATGCTCAAAATTGGTGTTTTTTACATCTAGCCTAGTCTCCATACTTCTAAAACCACTGATTTCTGGTTAACTTCTTTGAATCCATAAGCCCATGTTTATTTATCATCCACTCTTTAGGAAGCAGTGTTTATAGGCATTCTGGGGACACCAAGATATGGGCCCTGCAGTCTCACAACTTAACATTGAACTGGAGCAGCAAAGAGGTCCATGAATAATTGCCAATTACACAGAATTGGGAAGAGGAGAGGTCAGTGTGAGTCAGGATTAGAGAAGAAGGTTTTGTGGAGGAGGGTTGAGCTGGCCTAGAAAGGATCTGAGCAGATGGAAACAATGGAAAAGTGAAGAGGGCACACATGGGGAGTGTTTTGTCCCACTTCTGCCTATTCCTACTTAGTTATCTCCTCCTTTTCTTTTTTTATTTTTTGTGGCCTTTTAAAACTTGAGCTACCTGGGAAATTGCTAATTTCTCTAGATATTGCCAACTAATTCATTTTCCAGTGTAATTTCTTCTAGAAACTTTAACTATCATAATATGCCAATTTTGGCTTGGCATGGTGGTTTACACCTGTAATCCCAGCACTTTGGGAGTATGAGGTAGGAGAGTAGCTTGAGGCTAGGAGTATAAGGCCGCAGTGAGATATGACCATGCCACTGCACTCCAACCTGGATGACAGAGTGAGACCCTGTCTTAAAAATATATAGATACAGATATATTGATACAGACACTAATTTTTTTCTCTTATCCCTTTTGTAAACTTTTCAAAATTTGCTTTCTTAAAGTTTTACACATTTGAGATTGCACAGCTTTCCTTTCCCTTGTTTCTACTCACTTTCTCTGAAGAATTCTTGACACTTTTAAATTGTGAATCAGTCCTTGTTTTTTTGTCAGGATTAAGCTCAGAATATCATATGTAAAAACCCACTCAATGCACTTTATATTCTGTTTTAAAATTGCTGTTAGTTTGGGGAACACTCAGAGGGTATCTTTCTGCATATCCTCTTGCATGTATTCAGCCACATAATGCCAACAGCATGCAACATCACAAGTTCAAGCAACAGAGCTGTCACTCGAGGCAGTGGATGGGGGTTCTCATGACTTCCCAATTCCTCTTCCAAACACCGTCTGTCCACAGGAAAAGCCCCTCTCCCCTTTCAGACACAGGATAGCGGCTACCATTCCTCTGCCTTCCTATCCCCCATCTCTGAGCAAGGTCAGATTTATTCCAGCAGAAAGGGTTCAATTTTAGGCAATTTAGACAACCTGACAAAGAGAAGAAACAAAGACAATATGGAGACTCCTGACTGCAGACAGCTGATAAACAAAATACTTTCTCTCTCTCTCTCTCTTTTTTTTTGTACTTGATTTAGTAGAAAGCACAGCAGTATCTGTGTATGAATAGTTGATTTTTGTTGGTGGAGCAGGCCTAGGTAGAGAAAATCTTTAACTCAATAGAGCCTTGCCATCCTTGTCTTATAAGACAGTACATAAGTTGTGGAACCTGGGGATTAGACCACCTTTAAGTTAAAATTCAGACAAGCTATTATATCTCTCAAAACCTGTTAAAGGGAACAGTAATTTCTATCAGGCACTCAGATATCCTATCCCTCCTCTTCTTAGACTGATTCTTTCCTTCTCTTTCCTCTGATTCAAAACTTAAAAACTAAGAAAAGTAGTATTAGCTATAGTGTTTCATGCTTTTGAGATACTACAGTTGGCTAAAACCTACCTTGTTTCCTAATTATTCCATGTTCTCCCTCTGATTAATAATGTCTTTGTCTCATTAAAGTTGATATAATTTTAGGTTTCAGAAGAACAATAATCTGATTAACTAATTACCACTTATGTATAACTGACTGATAGCTCTGAGATTTCTTAGCCTCTTTACATTTTAAAAAGATAACTTTACAGACCATTGTCTCTCATGAACATAGATGTAAAATCCTCAAAAAGTATTAGCAAATCATATTAAGCAGTGTATAAAAAGAATTAAATACAACCAAGTGGAATTTATCACAGGTATGTAATGCCAATTCAACATTAGAAATCAGTTAATGGGGCCAGGCATGGTGGCTCATGCCTATAAACCTAGCACTCTGGGAGGCTGAGGCAGGAGAATCACTTGAAGTCAGGAGTTCAAGACCAGCCTGAGCAAGAGCAAGTCCCCATCTCTACAAAAAAATCGAAAATTAGCCGGGTATGGTGGCATGTGCCTATAGTCCCAGCTACTTGGGAGGATGAGACAGGAAGATCACTTGAGCCCAGGAGTATGAGGTTGCAGTGAGCTATGATCACATGACTGGACTCTGTCCCAGGCAACAGAGGAAAACCCTGTCTCAAAAAAAAAAAAAAAAAAAAAAAATCACATCAACTAAAGAAGAAAAATCACATATTCATATCAGTAGATGCAGAAAAAGTATTTGACAAAATTCAACCCCCATTCATGATTTTAAAAAAAAAAGGTGTGATAAACTAGGAATAGAGGGGAACTTCCTCAATTTGATAAAGAGGAAAAAACCCTACAGCTAACATCATCCTTAATAACAAGAAACTAGATGCTTTCCTCCAAGATCAGGAACAAGGTAAGGATGTCCCCTCTTATTCCTATTCAACATCTTACTGAAAGTTCTAGTTAATGCAATAAGACAAGAAAAGGAAATAAAAGGTATATGGATTGAGAAGAAAAAGATAAAACTGTCTTCGTTCACAGATGACATGATTGTCTATGTGGAATATCCCAAGAATTGACAAAACTCCTGGAATTAATAAGTAATTATGGCAAAGTTGCAGAATATATGAGATTAATATACAAAATTATTCTCAAGTTTATATGGAAAAGCAAAACACCCAATGTATAGGGGAAAACAAACTTCTGTACTCTCACTGACAGCTCTCAATACTTCCAGAACTTCATTTCTGACACCAGATGTGTGAGGAGTTTTCCCACACCAACCAATTCCCCAACACCAGCTGAGTGTCCTACAAGTCAGTTCTAACACTGCCTACCTGGAGTTAGCACAGACCTCACAGGTTAAGGGCTCAGTCCCACAAGACTGAGGAGCATCCTGCTTGTCACCTGTGCTTCTGACCAACTGGCTGTAATTTGGAGGTTCCCACAACTCCCTCCTTGGGTTCAGTCATTTGCTAGAACGGTTTCCAGAACTCAGGGAAACACATTTACTGCTTTATGATGAAGTGTTAATATATTACAAAGCATAAAGCTGAATAGCCATGAAGAGATACATAGAGGGAGGTCTGGAAGGGTCCCAAGCACAGAAGCTTCTGTTTTCATGCAGTTGGACTTTGACACTCTTCTGGCACATCATATATGTTCACTAACCCAGAAGCTCTCTGAGCCCTGTCTTTTAAGGCTTTTTATGGAGGCTTCAACATGTAGGCATGATCAATTATTAACTCAATCTCCAGCTCGTCTCCCCTTCCAGAGGATGGAGGTGGGGCTGAAAGTTCCAAGCCTTAGTGGTTTAGTCTTTCTGATAACCAGTCCCCATCCAAGATTGCACCAAGAGTTGCCTCATTAGAAGAAAAGTTGCTTCTGTCACCCAGGCAATTCTGAGGGATTTAAGAGTTCTTTGTCAGATGCTCCTATCACTCAGGAAATTACAAAGGTCTCAGAAAGCTCTATATCGGGACAGGACTGATCTCTATATCAGAGACCAAATATTGGGACAAAAGAGTCTCCTGACAACTTTATTTATAAAAGTTTTGGGGGCTCTGTGTCAGCAACCAGGGGTAGAATTTATATACAGTCATGTGTCACACAGTGATGGTGATACATTCTGAGAAGCGCTTCATTAGGCAATTTTGTTATTGTTTGAACTTCATAGTGTGTTAAACCTGGATGGTGTAGCCTACTACAGACTAAAGGTTATATGGTATAGCCTATTGCTCAGAGGCTACAAACATGTTCAGCATGTTACTGTACTGAATAGTGTGGGCAGTTGTTACACAATGGTAAGTGTTTGTGCGTCTCAACATATCTAAGCACAGAAAAAGTATGATAAAAATATGGTATTATGGGGCCGGGCGCGGTGGCTCACACTTGTAATCCTAGCACTCTGGGAGGCCGAGGCGGGCGGATTGCTCAAGGTCAGGAGTTCGAAACCAGCCTGAGCAAGAGCAAGACCCTGTCTCTACTATAAATAGAAAGAAATTAATTGGCCAACTAATATATATAGAAAAAATTAGCTGGGCATGGTGGCACATGCCTGTAGTCCCAGCTACTCGGGAGGCTGAGGCAGTAGGATTGCTTGAGCCCAGGAGTTTGAGGTTGCTGTGAGCTAGGCTGACGCCACGGCACTCACTCTAGCCTAGGCAAGAAAGCGAGACTCTGTCTCAAAAAAAAAAAAAATATGGTATTATGATCTTATGGGACCACTGTAGTCTATGCAATCCATATTTGTTGACCGAAATATCATTTTGTGGCGTGTAGCTATATCTTTCTTACTATTTCACACCCAGAGTAGCCAGCACAATGCTGAAAAAAAAGAAGAAGAATAGAGGATTCACATTATCTGACTTCAAGACTTACTATAAGGCTACAATAATTAAGACAGTATGGGTTGGGCACTGTGGCTTCCGCCTGTAATCCTAGCACTCCGGGAGGCTGAGGCGGGCAGACCGCTTGAGGTCAGGAGTTCGAAACCAGCCTGAGCAAGAGCAAGACCCTGTCTCTACTATAAATAGAAAGAAATTAATTGGCCAACTAATATATATAGAAAAAATTAGCTGGGCATGGTGGCACATGCCTGTAGTCCCAGCTACTCGGGAGGCTGAGGCAGTAGGATTGCTTGAGCCCAGGAGTTTGAGGTTGCTGTGAGCTAGGCTGGTGCCACGGCACTCACTCTAGCCTGGGCAACAAAGCGAGACTCTGTCTCAAAAAA